GAGGGATATGTGTAGCTTTTGCAGGTTGAATGCTTCACATTATATTGCAACATTTTGGGCTTTCTATATTTACTCGGGGAGAAGATATTGTTTTGTCAGATTCTCAGACATCCTTGACTCAGAAAAGGTTAAAAACACTTTTTAAAAAGTCCTTGTATTATACTTTTGTAAAAGAAACAACAAAGCAAACCAGCCAAGCAGAAGACTTTTCCTCTCCCTGCTGCAGGGCCACCCACAATCCTTCCCCTCCTCTGCACCCCAAACCAGGCACCAAGTTTGAGGGATGCTACTTTTAAGCCAGCTCTGCTTGCGAGCCTGCCACTGGGCAGCATCATGCCTGAACCACAAACCTCGCTCAGGCCCTGCCTCAATGGGACTTACACTATACTAAGAGAGGACAGTAAACAAGATGATTTTTAAAAGAAACTTAAGTATTCAGAGAAGGGACATTTGAAGAGGGACATTTGGTCCAGCCCTAAATTATGGGAAGAGACCAACCACATAAAAAGACCATCATATAAGAGGCCTGGTGTGGTGGCTCATGCCTATAAGCCTTAGCACTCTGGGAGGCCAAGGCAGGTAGATGGCTCAAGGTCAAGAGTTCGAAATCAGCCTGAGCAACAGCCAGACCCATCTCTACTAAAAACAGAAAGAAATTAATTGGCCAACTAAAAATATATAGAAAAAATTAGCCAGGCATGCTGGCATATGCCTGTAATCCTGAGGCTGAGGCAGAAGGATTGCTTAAGCCCAAGACTTTGAGGTTGCTGTGAGCTAGACTGACGCCACAGCACTCTAGCCCAGGCAACACAGTAAGACTGTCTCAAAAAAAAAAAAAAAAAAGACCATAAAAAACAAGAGGCTTCTAGGTAGAAAACAGCAAAATATCACTCACAATTCCCCCTCAGAAGACTTCTTCAGAGGCTGAAACACTACCCACCTCACATGTTCTCAGTTTACCGTTGCTTATTATGGGAAACCTTCCAAAGGGTTCCCTCCAATGCTGGGGATGCCCCCACACACACACAATGCTCTCACAGGACTCATGTTGGTACTTTCCTTGGACAGCATGAATTCTAACCATGCTCCAAAAGTAAGCCGAATGGATTTTTCTCAAATTCTCCAGTTTTCATTTGGCTGTGGTCGGAATCCCTAGAGCTTCAGTTGGTTGGCTAAGTGCCACTTCAGTGATTCAGCAGGCTGAGGGGGTGCCAGGGGGATACTCATTTTTCTGTTTGGTATATTAAGGTCTTCTGGCACAGCTACCGCCGAACATCTTCGACCAACGCAATTGTTATATTGCAAGTAGCTCTATGTAGGATAGATGCTATCCTTCTGCACCTTCCACCCAGCCCCTACCCCTATAAATCAGGACTGAGCGCAACCAGACTCTCCTCTGCTTATATTAAGACTACACCACTTTCTCAAAAGCTGGCAGCCATCGTTGTTCCTCTCCAGTAAAGGCCATCTGCAGTAGATGGCAGAAATGTTACGAAGTTTTGGGCCTGTGCATGCTGCCCTTTTCCTATGTAGGCTTTTCCTACAGGATTTAAGCCATATCAAGTCAGATACCTTTACTTAGATTATTTTCTATCATCTAGCAGCTAGGAAGACTAAAATAATAAGTAAATGAATGAATATATATATATATATAATCTCTAGGAACTTCACAAATTATCTCATTTAACTCTCATTATAATCCTGACATTTGTAAATGACAAAAGTAAAGTCCCAAGACAGTAAACAATTAGTCTAAAATCAGCAATTAGGTGGTAGGCACACCGGGTCCTCTGACTTCAAGGGCAACTCTTCTCACCACCTCACCTTAATACCTGTATTTCCTAAGATTGCTCACGAGTTCTGCTAACCATTGTAAATAGTTTACTAGGTACTTTTTTTTCTTTTTGGACATCGAGATGACATGCAAGTAGGTGGCTGATGCAGTTAAAATAATTTTCTATGTTCAAATACAAAAAGCTAGCCAGGGGCAGTGGCTCACACCTATAATCCCAACACTTTTGGGAGGCTGATGTGGGAGGAATGCTTGAAGCCAAGAGTTCAAAAAGAGCCTGGGCAATAGCAAGACCGCAACTCTACAGAAAATAAAAAAATTAGCCGGGCATTGTGGTGCATATTTATAGTCCCAGCTAAGGCAGGAGGCTTGCTTGAGCCTAGGAGTTCAAGGCTGCAGTAAGCAATGATTGTTGTCACTGCACTCCAGCCTGGGAGACAGAGTAAGACCCTGTCTCAAAAAATAAATTTAGGCTGGGCCCAGTGGCTCACACCTGTAATGCTAGCATTCTGGGTGGCCAAGACGGGTGGATCACTCAAGGTCAGGAGTTCGAAACCAGCCTGATTAAGAGCAAGACCCTGTCACTACTAAAAATAGAAAGAAATTAATTGGCCAACTAAAAATATAGAAAAAAAAAATTAGCCGGGCATGGTGGCACATGCCTGTAGTCCCAGCTACTCGGGAGGCTGAGGCAGGAGGATCGCCTGAGCCCAGGAGTTTGAAGTTGCTGTGATCTAGGCTGACACCACAGCACTCTAGCCCAGGCAACAGACACTCTGTCTCAAATAAATAAACAAATTTAAAAAGCTGTAACAGTTAACTTTGTTTCAAAGTTCCCTTTTACACTACTTTTGTGTTCAAAAGCTGAAGCACGGAAAATAAAGCAGAAAATAAATCCCTGGTGTTACACCAGTAATTTGGACCAGCTACTCCTAAGACTTACCCATGGACAAGAAAAAGGGAGCATTCCCCAGGAATCAGCAGTCTGAAAGCAACAAGGCAACAAGGATGTTGAGGCAATCAGTGGCATCAGTAGACAATGCTTCCCCTTTCCCAGAAATACTGTCACAGGCCTACTGTTATGTGTTAAGATTTCAGCAGCCCTGAGGGCCTCAGTAATTTGCTCTTACATATCCTGTCAGACAACTGGCCCAACACACACCTTTAGGCTCATCTTTCCCTTTTAACAAAAACCCCACTTTCAGTAAGGCCACCTCAGAGGAGATGTTTATCTTAACCACAGAAAAGACACACCCGGAACTACATAATTATTTTTATCTTTAATGTCCAGAGTGTGTAATATAAGGGCCAGAACTTCCTCCCAGACTCAATTTTTTATAAATTCTCGATTGGCTGGTGGGGCCAGTAGGGATACTTCTCCTTGTCTAATTTGGTTTCCGGAAAGGCTTCATTCAAGTCCTCAATGGTCATCTGATCAAATGGAATTATGTTCCTCATCTTCTCCAGCTGCAAAGAGGGGAAATGTGCTTGGTTAAGGTACACAGGGCCACAGAGATGCAAAACAAGAATCCAGGTAGGTTTCTGCTGCTAGGTGAAAGAGGTATGGCCATGAAAGAGAGACACTGTATTGCAGGCAAAGGCCACGGTGCATCCTTACCTCTTTCTCATATTCCTCAATCCTGGCCTTTGAGAGAGACACAAACTCAGCACAGGTTTTCACCTTTAAGAGAAAGGAGAAATTGGGTTCTGAAGCCAAGCTGTATTCTTCCCCCAGGCTCCCACAGTAGGAGTCTTAGAGCCCTACGGAGAACACGTGACCACTAGGGAGGCTCACTCTGGGAGGAGAGCCACAGCTTTCCCCGACACCACGGAGAAGCCCACCAGGGAAAACCACCTTGGATGCCAGGACCAGGTTTCTTCACCATGTTTCTCATGCAGAGGACCTAGAAATGCCTGTGTCATAGGGACCGGCCACTGAATGGTCAGGACAAACCACATGACTACCTAGCCAGGCTTCTCTCTGGCCACATCACAAGCCATCTGGGTTCCAATGTTTGTCCTTCAATGCATTTAAGCAAATAGTTATTTGAATACTACTTGGATAATTTTTCCACCTAGTTCCAACTTCTTAATTGTTTCCAACAGCTTTAAGGTATAACTGAAATGAAATGCACATATTTAAAGAGCACTGTTTGATAAGTTTTGATATATGTATCCACCTGTGAAACCATCACCACACTCAAAATAGTGAATATATTTATCACCTCCCTCCCAACTATCCCCAGGCAACCACTGATGTGCCTTCTGTCATAACAGATTAGTTGCATTTTCTAGAGATGTATAAAAATGGAATCATATGGTATGTACTTTTTTTTTCTTGCTGGCTTCTTTCACTCAGCATAATTATTTTGAAATTCATCCATCTTGTTATATTTATTAACAATTCATTCTTTTCCTGCTGTCAACTCCTAAATTTTCAATTTAACTCACTCTACCTTAAGCTAGCTGCTAAGACACACACAGAGCTGTCAGTATTAAGAGAACTGTAGAGCAAGTAAGAGCATCAACTACTTACATCCTCCTTTTCTTCAGCATCCACTAGGGCAGTATATTTATCCTCTGGTACAGGAACCTTCAGGGCATTAAACTACAACACAAGGAAAGTGAGTTGTCACCAATATACTCAGGAGCCCAAAGGGCTCAAAACTGCTAATCTTTACAGATCGTATTAAAACATATTTTTTGTCCCAAGAGGAAGCCAGTATGCATTTCAATTTTTTTTTTTTTGAGACAGACTCTCACTCTGTTGCCCAGGCTAGAGTGCTGTGGTGTCAGCCTAGCTCACAGCAACCTCAAACTCCTGGGCTAACCGATCCTCCTGACAGGCATGTCCCACCATGCTCAGCTAATTTTTTCTATATATATTAGTTGGCCAATTAATTTCTTTCTATTTATGGTAGAGATGGGGTCTCACTCTTGCTCAGGCTGGTTTCGAACTCCTGACCTTGAGCAATCCGCCCGCCTCGGCCTCCCAGAGTGCTAGGATTACAGGTGTGAGCCACCTCGCCCAGCCAGGAAAATGCATTATTTATATGTTGTCAGAAAAGCATCAGGAATCCACATGTAATTCCACAACACTGTTTGCTTCTAGATTCAGTGGCAAGTATGGGGCTCCCTCTCAGAAACATACTGACCTGGAGGTGAGGGTCTCATTCCAAGATTTCAGGTTATTAGCAATAGCTTTTTGGTTTCGAGGTATGATCTCTCCAAAAGCTACCCAGTCAATGGTTTTTAGAGCAAGTTTTCGCCCAGCCATCTTGGAATCCTGGAAAATAAAGTAAGTCAAGTAAGATCAAAGCAGGGATCTTGGAGAGAATGCTCTAAAGGGCATCTTAGAAATAAGCAAGTCTTTAAGAAATAGATCAGCATCTGTTGAGCACTTGGTGGGTATATTTATCAACTAGAGGAACTAAGATTACTAAATTGGAAAAGGAGAACAGTTTAGCTTTTCAAATTCAAGGTGTGTAATCTGCCACAAAAATATACTCTCTCCCACTAGATTGTCCTTCCTAATCCTACCACTTTGGGAGGCCAATGCAGTAGGATCCCATTAGCCCAGGAGTTTGAGAACAGCCTGGGCAAAGAGCAAGACCCCATCTTTACAAAAAAAAAAAAGAAAATTAGCTGGGTGTGGTGGCATGTGCTTGCAGTCCTAGCTACTTGGGAGAGTGAGGCAGGAGGATCGCTTGACTCCAGGAGTTGGAGGTTACGGTGAGCTCTGATCACCGTAACCTCCAACTGAGTAAGCCTCGGCAACCGAGTAAGACCCTGTCTCTTAATGAATAAATAAAACTTAAAAATAAATTGTCTTTCCTCTAGCCCCCAACTCCTCCTCATCCTCAAAAGTCCAGCTCTCCTTTTTCTGCCTCTGCTGCCGCCATGGCACCCGCAAGAAAGCTTGTGGCAAAGGGGGGCAAAAAAAAGAAGCAAGTGTTGAAGTTCACTCTTGATTGCACCCACCCGGTGGAAGATGGAATCCTGGATGCTGCTAATTTTGAGCAGTTTTTGCAAGAGAGAATCAAAGTGAACGGAAAAGCTGGAAATCTCGGGGGAGGGGTTGTGACCATCGAGAGAAGCAAGAGCAAGATCACTGTCACTTCTGAGGTGCCTTTTTCTAAAAGGTATTTGAAATATCTCACCAAAAAATATTTGAAGAAGAACAATCTACATGATTGGTTGCGTGTAGTTGCTAACAGCAAAGAGAGTTACGAATTATGTTACTTCCAAATTAACCAGGACAAAGAAGAGGAGGAAGATGAGGATTAAAATTCATTTATTTGGAATATTTTGCATAAGTTCTTAAATAAAACATCGGAAGTAAAAAAAAAAAAAGTCCAGCTCTCTACTTGTTGCTCTCCATGTTCCTTTGGAAATGCTGCTAAAATAACGTTCATCCATTGCATAAAAGTTAATAATTTAATACATTTCCACCTAGATTGTGTTTTATTCACTGATTCTCCAGTAGACAGAACCAGACACACACTAAGTTTTGACAAGGCTTACATAGAGCAGACTTTGGGCTATAATCTCCTTATCTGTAAAATGGGGATAATATCAACCTTGCTTAACTCAGACAGCTGTTAAAAGTATCAAAGAAACTGCACATCAACTTGCTCTACAATTTTATACAAACTTATGGGGCTCTCTTATCCCCCTTCCTACTAGATTGGTAACATACCTTCATCTTTTATTCATGTGGGATTACCCCCACAGGACTAGGACATGCCCTGCCTGCATTTTAAGAGGTATCCATTATATATGTGAATGAGAAAGACGATGGAACATGGTTACAGCTATATTTTTTTAAACCAAGACAGAATATAGGGAAATAGTAATTTTAAAAGATCTGGATTAGATATTAGAAAACTGTAAAGCCAAAGTTAAGGTCTTTGGCGTGGATTTCAAGGGAGGTGTAAGATAGCTTCCTCAGGATCTTAAAGAAAGTTGTCAAACCCCTGCCTCTTCCTTTCTTTCCTTCTCAGGACAGTCGTTTCCTGGAGCGGAGGGGAGGAGTTGTTAAGGCACTAAGCAGGTAACTTTTAAAGAGACCAGAGAAACAAATAACCTTACAGAGACTTTCCCAAGCACCAGTAGAAGGCAGAAGTCATAAACAGATGTTTTTCTTTAATCCTCCAGTGCCTAGAACAAGCCATGCGCACAGGAGATGCTCAATGAATGTTCGTTGAATGAGTAAATGAAACCTGCACCCGAGAAGCCCTGAATACTGCTCACGCTCTGGAAGCCTCCAGAGCCTGCTGAGTGTGCCTCAGCAAGTAGCACTATGTCTGTGTAACGTCTCCCGGGTCCCCAAAGCGGACGACTGAACGAGACAGGGCTGGGGGCAGCACCTAAATCTAAATGAGCCGCGGCCGGGTCACAGCTCGGTCCCCCGACTTCGCGCTCCCAGGAGGGTTGAAGAAGGGAACGCGCAGCAAAGCGCAGCCGCTACACCTGAGCACTGTGCCAGCGGGGCAACCGAGGGCCCGGCGCGAGGCCTGAGGCAGCAAAGCAGAGAAACCCACCGGGACTCAAGCCCAGCACCCTTGAACCCCACTCACCTTCACCGACCCCGACCGCCCAGAGTCCGCAGCAGCAAAGAACGGAAGTGGGTCACCGGAAGACCTCCTCTCAGCCAACCCCAAGGCCAAAGGAGCGGGCCTTGCTTCGCTGATCAACCAATAGAGATGACGGCTGGTTCCGGAAGTCTCACCCCCGGGGCGGGCACAGCGCCTCCACCGCGCGGGTCCCCGGGCACTGGTTGGGGGCGCTCCCCTCCCTCTCCCCCCTGCCCCCCCCCCGCCGATGGGCCGGCCCGGCTCTCCCTGCCGAGAAATGGGCCGGCCCGGCTACGCGCGGGCAGCGGCGGCGGCGGCGGTGGCGGCCCAAGATGGCGGAGCTGCAGCTGGACCCGGCGATGGCGGGGCTGGGAGGGGGTGGCGGGAGTGGGGTGGGCGACGGGGGTGGCCCAGGCCGCGGGCCCCCCAGCCCACGCCCGGCTGGCCCGATGCCCCGCGGACACGGCCGCCCGTCCGCCGCCGTCGCGCAGCCTCTGGATCCGGGTCCCGGACCACCCGAGCGGGCAGGGGGCGGCGGCGCGGCCCGCTGGGTCCGGCTGAACGTAGGCGGCACCTACTTCGTGACCACCAGACAGACCCTAGGCCGGGAGCCCAAGTCTTTCCTCTGCCGCCTCTGCTGTCAGGAGGACCCGGAGCTGGACTCGGACAAGGTGTGCCCCGCCCTCGGGCGCGCCCCCGGGCCTTCGGACCCCCTGTTCCTCCTGGACTCGTCCTCAGAGTCCTAGGACACGCTCCTCACAGGCAGCTCCCTCAGGCCGCGACCCCTCCTCCCCTTGGCCTCTCACGCTAGTCCCGGGGGCCTCAGATGGACCCTCCTTTCCCTTCACCCTCATCCTCAGGCACACCCCAGCTTTCTCTCTGACCCCGCCCTTCGTTCTCAGTGACTCCTTTCCTGCACTGTGCCCACCCGCACCCTTTCTCCATATTCTCTGCTCCTCTCATCCCAGCCCCTCAGATCTGCGTGAGCTTTCCCTGGCTCCTCTTCAGCCCCTCGCTGCCGGTGCCAGATGCATCTAGAACTGGGTCAGGGAGAGCTAAGGCATCTTTGTAGCTTTCTCAGACTTCCTCTCAGACCCCTCTGCCAAGTTGGGCTTCGAGAGCTGCAGGGAGTGCTTCTCGTGATATCATACTGCTTGCTTAAGGTTCTGGCCCCAGAACTTTTATCTGGTAACAGTGGCTGTTTTAGATCCATATTTGAGATGAAATGCGTTCCTCAGAAAGAGGTTACTATTTGCCAGTGCAAATCTAGGCTGACCAGTTAAGAGCAAAGGAAAATGAAGACTTAAAGACGGAGGAATGCTGTTGGGCAAGATGCATGGCTGGTAACCAAAGGGTTGAGAGGTGATGAGACACTTAAGCCATTTCCAGTTTGAACTGTTTGAGTTTCTTTTTAACTTTACTCTTTCTTCTTTTTGTACACAAATGAAAGATACTGAGCATAGTTCACACCATCTTATTATATCCCATATGGCATTCAGCTGGTCACCTTGCAATACAGTTGGGGTTGCGTAAACATTTGTTGATTTTATTTATTCCTCTCCTACCTCTCCTCTAATAAATATCAGATTGATGGAAACCTATCCTGGCCTAACTTTAAAGAGATTCCAAAACCCTTGCTTATAAAGAAATTATTTTTATCTACCTTATAGCTTCCTTGTGGCAGTGTAAGCCAGTTTCTTCTTGTTCCCTTTACTGTAAAGATGAGTAGGATTAAAGCTGCTCAGAGCCAAGTCCTGGCAGTACCAAGCTTCCTCTGGGCACAGAATTGGGTGTGTGAGATTACAGCTGGCAATGCAGACTCCCACTGATGTTGGCCTTGAGCTCAGGAGCATTGCCAACTAAACAGAGGTTTTCTTAGAATTAGGAATGCAGTTCAGGGGCAATGGAGAAGTCAGAGTGTTTATCTTACGCAAAGATTTAAATCATGCAGCTCTGGCGTTTTCTTTCTTTTCTTAAATAACAAATATCCCACATAAGAATGTTGGTAATTCGTGGTGGCTCACGCTTGTAATCCTAGCACTCTGGGAGTCTGAGGTGGGTGGATTGCTCGAGGTCAGGAGTTGAAAACCAGCCTGAGCTTGAGACCCCATCTCTACTAAAAATTTTAAGAAATTAATTAATTGACCAACTAAAAATATATATAGAAAAAATTAGCCGGGCATGGTGGATGTTTGTTAGAAGCCTAGGGTGACGAGGGTTAGTAATCTGCTTCGTGGAATTTAAGGAGGCAGTTATTCGGGTAAAGTGAGTGTTATTGACAAGTAGCAGCGAAGAGGAGTCATAACTTAGTGGCTTGAATTTCTAAAATCATGGCTTGGACAACAATTACCAACATTCTTTTTTTTATTTTTATGTATTTTTTAATTTTTTTTTGAGACAGAGTCTCATTTTGTTGCCCAGGCTAGAGTGAGTGCCGTGGCATCAGCCTAGCTCACAGCAACCTCAATCTCCTGGGCTCAAGTGATCCTACTGCCTCAGCCTCCTGAGTAGCTGGACTACGGCATCGCG